GGGCGCGGGCGCGGGCGGCGCGGCTGCCGCGGTGCAAAGTCAAACGCTGGCGGAGGGCGGCAAGGGCTCGGGGGGCGGCGGCGAGCCACAAACGGCGGCCACCGCGCCCGCTGCAGCGGCGGCTGACGGCGCAGCCCCAAAGGCGGCGGCCGAGGGCGGTACCAAGCGCGCCGCCGCCGGCGCAGCCGCGGCCGCCCTTGCCGGCGGGGCGGTCGGCGCGGCCGCGCTAGCGGCTGCGGCAGCTGTGGCGGCGGACGGGAACGCGGCGTTGCAAGAGGAGCCTGCGCCTGCCGAGAGCGCGCCGGCGGCAAAGGACGAGGCTGGGGCCGTCGAGGCGCAGCCCGCTGCCGCCGCCGACGCGGATCAAACATTCGCGTTTGGTGACGACGCCTTTGGCGGCCCGGCCGACAAACCCCCGGCAGCCGCGGCTCCAGAGGCACCCGCCGCCGCCGAAGACCTGGCCAACCCGGCTGCCGCGGCCGGCGCAGGCGCGGCCCTGGCCGCCGGCGCCGCAGCGGCGCCCACCGTGGCGCCCGGGCCTCCGCCCGCACCGGTTGACGCTGCGGTGTTTGGCTTCGACGAGGGGGATGCTTTTGGGCGCACGTCGTCGGACGCGCTGCAGAGGCAGGACTCGGCGGCAGAGGGCACGGACCTGACAAACCCCTTTGCGCACGGCGCGTTCGCCGGGGGCTTTGGCCCGGCGCAGGTCACGGGACAGAGCGCAACCACAGACTCGAGCGGCTTCGAGGACAGCGCGTTCTGAGGGCCCGTTCGCCTCGCGGCTGGGGCATCCAATGGGGCGTTAGCTGGCTCGGCGGCGCGCTGTGGGGACAGCCGGCCTGGACACACCGCGCTGCGAACGCACCCTCGTCCTATTTCGCCTGACTCGTCTTTAAGCTTGCCTTGCTCAACATACTTGCATGGAATTAGACACCTGCATCGGCCCCCAGGCACGCATTCGCCCAACTTGCTTCACAGTACTGTACTCTTCTTGGCGACGCTGCTGCAACCCGTCCTTCGAAGGCCTGGGGTTGTAACGGGGGTTTGTAAGGCCAGGGAAGCTGGAAGTCTTTAGGTTTCGCAGCGGCAGCGGCACCATGGTGCCAGGCGCTGGTGTGGAGTCTCGCTCGTGGCTTGTGCAGGCATGAGAATCGGATGCAGTGGTTGGGTGTGGTTGGCTGACACCAAGTCCCATCAGTACCAAAGCACGGGTCGAGGGCAAACGTTTCATGATTGCAAGACATTTTAATCACGTTACATGGAGGAGAAGCGCCGTTTACAGGTCGGTGCGACCAGCTGCTTCGCAGGAGCCAGGCCAGGCGAGCCTACGTCGCCCATGAACATCTGACCGCGTTTGTCGTTATTAACACTGTTTTCATAACATTAAAGCGGCTCCCGTGTGGAAACCGCTCAGTCGCACCCGTCGCGCACCCGGCAAGTGTGCATTTGTGCCTGCAACTCGCCATCGTCCTGTCAGACGAGTCCATACCTAGTTCGGCGCATCATTTATACAATCCTAATCTGCTTAATTCTGGTCCGTACGGCAATCAGTTCCAGGTCTCCCACTGCTCGGCGGGGGAAGCAGCTCCTAACGCAGACGCCCCAACGGCGCGACCGCGGCAGGACGCGCACATCAACGATTTGCGCGTTATTTAGCCACCCTCCCGCGCGCCGGTCCCGCCGCCCGACGGCGCGCAGCGCGCCGCGCGCGCAGCCGCGCAGTGGGGTTACGCCCGGGCCGCGGTGACGCCCCCAAACATGGCCGGTGAAGCACAGCCCAGCTACCTCGTTGGCAAGACATTAGCGACCGGCGAATGGGGCCACACCTCCATCACCCCGCTGTGGGTGCCAGTGCTGGTGTTTGCGCACTTGTATGCTGCATTCTGGCTCTACCGCGCTTGGCGCCTGAACGCGCCGCCCGCCAAGAAGCACGTGTGCTGGGCGCGCACCGCGTTTGAGGAGCACATCTCCAAGCGGGCGGCGGACAAAAGCGGCGGCCGCACCGTGCCAAAGGTGGACGTCGAGTCTCAGAGCCCGGCGCCGGCGTCGCCGCTGACAGACGGTGCAGACTGCTTGGTGGCCTGCAGCGATGGCGACGGCGACGGCGACGGCGCCGACGCAGGCGCCGGCGCGAGGGACACCGACGGCGGCCGCAGCTTGGTGGGCGGGCGGGCGGCGTTCGGGGGTTGCCGCTCGGTGCCCTGGGCAGCCAACGGGTCTGCGAGACATGCGCATGCCACGCTGATTTGGGCCCAAGGTCTACTCCTGGCCTGAAGCCCAAAGTCGTTTCCCCCACTTGCCCCCTTCCACCACTGCTCCCAATATCCACCACCGTTCCCCCCATGCATCTCACTCCCCCCTTC